GGTTAAGTAATAATTGTAATTATGAAGCAATAAGATGCTTATCTTAACATACTAAGAAGGTTAGGTAAGGTCGGTGTTTTCTATGAAGCTTTTCAAGGTAAACTAGTATGTTTAGTATGTCACATATGCACGTATTTAATAAGCCAATATTGACTGTAAGAAAGTGCGAGAACGGGTTGGTACACGCCATGATACTCGCATTTTTATAATCTTATCTCCGTCATGTGGTGTCTTCCCTGCACTAACGGCGCTACAAGGTCCCCCTCAAGGTCCCAGGCTGTACCTGAGATAAGGAACACAGTTCAGTTCACGCCACAAAGTTCCCCACCTCAGATGTTATGGTTTTACTGGCTGATAAGATCTACTGTTTATTGATATCACAACTACCGTGGCACGCAAGGTCAACTATTGCAAGCTTAAACTGAAGGGAGCCGAGGCCTCGTGTAGTAAATAGGAGGGTGGCGGTCAATAGGTACCTGGGAGTTAGACAGCTGCCACGGGCTGCTTCCTGGGGGTGTGTAACAATAAGGAGGCCTGGTCGAGGACCGGGCCGCGGGGACGCTAAGCCCCGAAATCATTTCAAAATTAAAAAATTCAAATGTTTATTTAGGTAAAGTACATACATACAAGGGGTGATACAAATATTGATGCATTTATAGATAGAGCTAGTACATACAATGCCTAAAGCCACTATTACGCAAAGCGTTTCGGGCAGAAAGATATTTCAAGATAACCTCAAGATAACGGTCTAAAAAATAGTGAAAAATATGTGTTATTGAAGGAGTGAGTGAGAGAGAGGTTTGGAACAATGATTCTAACACGAATCTTTCATATGTTTCTTTTAATTCTTTTTCTTCTGGGAGGAAGTTAAGAAAGTCTACCCCCCCCCCCCCAATGTTTGTTTTAGTAGGCCTGGCGCGGTGAACTAGGTAAATAAACTTTTCATTTGCCTATCAAAACATCTGCCTTACTCCTCTGGTTGATTTTATTGTTGCTGCCGGAGGCGGCTAGTTTATTGTGCACCCCATACCCATCCTGTGAGCGGTAGCGCAAAAAATAGAGAGCACTAAAGGTCTTTATCAGACCCCAACAACGATTATTACATTAACACTTACACCTATCCTGCACACCTTATATTGTAATGTCAACTAGTTACAGAGATTGTTCCATTTTTCTCGCTAACCTGGGGGCCAGATTCACGAAGCAGTTACGCAGTTGGCCGGGCTGTGGTGGGTATGTGGGCCTGCGAGCCGCTCCAAGCAACAGCCTGGTGGACCAAACTCTCACAAGTCAAGCCTGGCCTCGAGCCGGGCTTGGGGAGTAGAAGAACTCCCAGAACCCCATCAAGCAGGTAATCAACCAGGCAAGTACTTACGAACCAACTGGAGCTGTGTGAGAGAGCACGGCCGACATAGGCATCGACAACACTCTTCTTGTGCCTGTCAGGCTCACTATTACCAATCAAACACATTCCTGTATCAGTTCCAGTGGTGTAGACAACAGTGTGGACGCCGCTCTTCTTTTACCAGACATCCAGGAAAGGCAGCTTTCCTTTCTCTCACTTCTAACAAGAACAGAACATTTTTTTTCGTTTAATTATACTCATTGTTTAGTTGTGTTTCCTGAAAAACATTCCGTCTTTAGACTTACACGGGTCTGTGTGTGTGGCCTTACAACATCTCTCAATGTTCACATTCAAATTTGTATAATTCGTTTTCTCTTATATGTCTACACTATAGATCACATTCAAATTTGTATATATCTACACTGTATTATATGACAGTGTCAGACCACGGACTTCTCAAGATGTATTAATATACGAAAGTACTTAAGGAAATTCCTGTTTCAATTTTCCTCCGTGGTCTGACACTGTCACATTTTTAATCATGTGTTTATTTTCGTGATATACACACACTGTATTATATATCTATACTATAAGAGAGAATGTCTGCGTGTTTGGCTGTCTGTTTAGAGTTGGAGGCAAGATGCCTGGTCTGGGGTATGGGATACACATAGGCCTGTCGGGTTAGGCCTAAGGTCAAATATTGAAAGAAATATTATCCTTTATGGACACCCCCCCCCCAGGCGATTTTCATTGACTCGTGTGTTGAATATATGGTGTGATTCTCCTAGAGTTTTAGTGATCATATTGTGTTAATAAAAAAAATCTGGGAGACCCATGTAATTGTATACGTGTTTCTTAATAACACATTTTCTGGGGAAAGTCGGAGGGGGGGGGGGGGGAGAGGCAGGGGAGGGAGCAAGAGGGTGGTCACAAGGGGGTCTAGGGAGACATGGGGGTGAAGAGAAGGAAAGAAGGGGGAAGAGACCCTGGCACACCTGTTTACCCTTCTATATATATAGAAGGAGAGGGGGGGGGGTAGGGGACGGGAGACATCTCCCGTCACGCAGGGTGCAGTCGCACCTCCACAGATCTCCAGTATCATCTCGTGATACTGGTAATGGCTCAAAAGGGCCACCAGCTGGTCGGCCGAGCGGACAGCACACTGGTCTTGTGAACCTGTGGTCCCGGGTTCGATCCCGGGCGCCAGTGAGAAACAATGGGCAGAGTTTCTTTCACCCTATGCCCCTGTTACCTAGCAGTAACTAGGTACCTGGGTGTTAGTCAGCTGTCACGGGCTGCTTCCTGAGGGTGGAGGCCTGGTCAAGGACCGGGCCGCGGGGACACTAAAAACAAAGCCCCGAAATCAACTCAAGAAAACCTAACCACTCACGGGCTATTCATGCCCGTGCCACCTTTTGGGTGGCTTAATCTTCATCAATCAATCAATCGGGAGGATAGGAAGATGGGGGTGAGAGGGAGACAGGGAGAAAGAAGTAGGGAGGAGAGAAGGGGGTAGGGAAGGGAGGGGGAAGAAAGGGAAAGGAGGAGGATGTGGAGAGAGGGGAAAAGAAGAGGGGTTGAATGGGTTCTAACCAATTTGGTGAGAACTTTCTGACAAATGAGAGAGAGGGTTCTTGCAAAAAACGGAAGTATTTTCAGTAGAAACATTATTAAATCTGCTTTAATACAGATTACAAAATCATGTAATTTGAACATTAATTGTGATTTGTATAATTTAGATACATTTTTGATTGATCAGCTAGAAAAACTATTTTAGTAAAATCAATGATACGAATTTGTCTCAATAATACCTTATTAATATCCTCTTATCTCATTAAATATATTGTTTCTCACCTCACCTCATTCCTGCCTATATATCCACACCACTGAATTGTGTGTGGTTGGATATATATATATATATATATATATATATATATATATATATATATATATATATATATATATATATATATAGCTGGAGTTATATAATGAACTTCCTTCCAAGTCACACAAGCGACTTGAGAATGGTCCAGGACGGACCGAAACGTCGTCGTCTCTTCACCTTCTAGTGTGTGGTCTGGTCAACATCAACTTCCCTCCCTGCTCCCGAAGAAGCAGGGAGGGAAGTTCACAACTAAGTTCATTTAGTGAACTTAGTGAACAGGGAGGGAAGGAAGTGAACTACAGCTCCAGCCACTGCCACCGATATTACTCCAGCCTCTGGCATCACCATCTCTCTGCACTGGCAGATCTCCTGTCTGCTGACGCCCACCCTCTGCAACCTGCTACAGCTGCAGCTCCTACATTACCTATACAAACTGCCACTCCAAACCAACCACGTATTACTCCAGTTATACCTGCGACTACATCACCTGCATCGGTACCAACATCAGTTGCTCCTGCTGACCTCCACCTGTCTTCTGATGACGGCTCTACTGCCTCTGTTGACATGGAAGCACATTCACCACCCTCAGACTCGGAGGACACCACGACGATTGATTCTTCAGCAGTAACTGAGTTATATCAACAACTTGACAACACTACATTTGGATCTCCTGAATTCAGGCGGCTCTCCAGCCGTATATATAACACGAGGTATGAAGAATACTTGCAGAGTAATCCAGGAGCTACGGACATAGTTAGAAACAACATAATCTTCTCGGAATGCGATGAATCCACACTGGCAGCCGATCTTTTCCCCAGGACTACGCAGAGTACAAGAAAAAATATCAAGTGATTACACGAAGCATGAAGAAGATGGAAGAAAGAAGACAGACGCAAGAAGAAGAAGAAGAAGATGGAAGAAAGTCGACACCACCAGAAGACAGACTGTCACCACCTAGAATGAAGGAGTACCGCCACTGCTCCTTTCCTGACCCGACTCAAAGCCTAGCCGGTTGTGGGGTTGTCTGAGCATCGACTCAAGACACGCAGCTGGGTCAAGCCCTGGTGGCACTTTCTCTACTCCTTCAGCGTTTCCTCTCACCGACTTCTTTGCAGCCGTCTCCACTTCAAGGCTCGCCCTGATGGGTATGTTATCCTGTATATTATTGTGTTGTGTTGTTGAAGTTCCAGGTACCTGCCTACTGCTGGGTGAACAACAGAAGCATTATTAGGAGTAAGAAAGTCCCCATTTGGGTTTGTTTATGCCCTTTTGTCAGCTAATAGATTCGATTGTGTTCAATAATCAAGACAGGAGACCAGTTGGCTATATCACATACGTCAGACCAGTTCTGTAATATGCGGCGCCTGCGTGAAGTCCTGATCTTGTTTAATGCAAAATAAAGTTGGAGAAAGTGCTGAGGTATGCCACCAAACTTGTTCCAAAACTGAGAGATATAACCGCTATGGGGTAGACTAATAGAGGTGAACATCACGTCAGGCAAAAGGGTTACGGGAGACATGATTACCTCGTACAAAATTTCCATAGGAATTGATTAGACAGACTAGTATAGGATATACTCCAAGAAGGGGGACATAGATGGAAACTGTATACACAAATGAGCCACAGATAAATTACAAATACACTAAGAAGTGAATATAAAAAGCTCAAAAAACATTGAAATCTAGACATCAGCTGATTAAAAGTTTAGAGGCGGATCCAAAGAGCTAAACCTAACCACCAGCACAGTTGTGTCAGTACAATTAGGGAAGTGTGACTGCGGCGTAGGGCAGGAGGGCGTGCCAGCTGGAGCTATATAAGGACCCCGCCCGCCGGCGGGACAGCAGTGTCCCAACTGATCACAGCCGAGGTGCTACACTTCCGTCCTCTCCTTCACCTCAGCAAAGATGTTCTCGGTAAAGAATCCCGGACTCCCTAATTTGTTCAATTACTTCAATATGGACCACATCCCCATCTCATGGGCGTTATGCAATAAGGTTAAGTTGATTCAGGAACTGGACCAAATATTTCGTTAGCAAATAAATTTACATTTGCAGAGAATTAGCTGTATATACGTTCCATTAACCTATGATGTACCCACACATCCATGCAGGTTTTGTTTACCGCAGACGTAGCCACACATTTGCAATGGTATCCAGAAATGTATACAGTTTCCTTTGTCCTCCATGGCAAGGTTAGAGGCCTGAGTAGACATCATAGAGTGTAGTGGGGTAATGAGCATTCATACATACATACATACATACATACATACATACATACATACATACATACATACATACATACATACATACATACATACATACATGTATAAATAGATATTCACATATATATTTACGTCTCTCCTACTGTCACAAGGTAACATAGCTGCTATAGAAACTAGTGTGTTAATTATGAAGCACTTAACCACAGAGTGTGATTAAGATGCTTTTACAACCATAAGCTTTAGTGACATTACAAACATTGTATAACTGATGCATAACATAGTCAGTCTTGGGTACAAGTCCAATATATCAAGTGTTCCAGTACTCATATAGTAACTACACAGTTCAGCATACCTTAGCCCAGGAGGGCGAAAGTCAGTCAATATGGGACATTCTACAATATAATGTTCAAGAGAGTGCATGTTTTCTCTTTCACAAAGTTGACACATTGTGTACTCGACATTTGGGTTTTGAGAAAGCTGCCAGATACGTCTATATCCCAGGCGTATTCTGGCCACTATAACATCACATTGCCGGGTTCTTGTTCTATTAGTCCCATATGTGAATGTCTCCTCACGATATCTATCATAATATTTAATGCTACAGGCCTTTGTGAATTTGTTAGGTGAATTTAAGATTTTTTTTTTTTTTTTTGAGATATATACAAGAGTTGTTACATTCTTGTACAGCCACTAGTACGCGTAGCGTTTCGGGCAGGTCCCTGGAATACGATCCCCGCCGCGAAGAATCGTTTTTTCATCCAAGTACACATTTTACTGTTGCGTTAAACAGAGGCTACAGTTAAGGATTTGCGCCCATTAATCCTCCCCGGCCAGGATACGAACCCATCCATGAGAGTACCGTTTAAGTAGTGCAGTAGGCTGCGTGGAGAAGTTGCAGACACGCATGACCCTCCCTACACAACCCGTCTTAAAAATAACGTCACTTTTCGCTGGTATGCGCGGCGCTATGGCCAAATTTGGACGTAATTTGAAATGAAATCGACTCACAAAAGTGACGTACTGTTCCGTTTTCTGTTTGAGTCCTCCGGCTTACTCGGCCTGCTTAGAAAAGGGTTCGTTCCATTAACGTTTTTCATTGACAGTAGTGACGCACTTTTATAAGTATTTAAATTTGTTCACATTTCTTCAAGCAGTGATACAAGGTGGGTGAGCAGTTTTCCTGGCATGTTTATATTTGGTCAAAACCGCAAACAAATGTTAGGTTCCAGAAACACTTATAGCGTGGGTCGGAGAGTATAGTTCTTGAGTGTGATTGTGTTGAAGAACTTATAGGTTATGTGTCTCTTCTTACGTGGAAGTGTGACCAGAGAGGGGAATACCTGGTGTAAATTTCAATTTATCTCGTATCGATGCAGTTTTGTTAAAGATTTTGATACAACATTATAGAATATATTTTCGATTTAATCAGCAAGTTTGGTGTTGGCCTCAAGACCTATCAACCTCTGGAGGGTATTAAGGCTAGGTGAACAAAGGCATCATTTATAAGGAAATGTGTTTCGTCCTGCCCGGGAATCGAACCCTGGACAAATAGGTTGTGTGCCGACTGGTTTAATCATGAGAGGCCAAAGACTAGAGAATGACATAAATGTTTCCAACCACTTGGACTGCTCGGTAGAGGGACAACCTCGCTTCTTGCTGGCCGGCGTTCGATCCCCAACGGACCAAGTGGTTGGAATGTTCTATATAGTCGTATTGACTTAGTGCTTTCTCCTGATAAATTACCTGATTTAATGTGTCCCCCCCCCCACAAGTACTGTGCTGGAGAACGGCGCTTAATTCTGCTTTCCGTCACTGGGCAGAGAGTGAAGGCTTGGTGGATGGTGGTGGTGTGGGCGTGCGGGTGCTGGGGCCAGGAGAGCTTCACGCCCTACGAGCGAGGACCCTACAGCACCACCAGGGTGGAGGTGGGCTCCCTGCTCACAGTGGGTCTGGACGAGAACCTGGACGTGTGGGTGCCCACTGACGCCGGCACCTACAGTGTCTTCTATTTCCTGGACGGCTTCGGCGGCGCCATCCCCGGGATCGCTTACGACCAGGTGAGGCGCGGGACTCACGTGTGGGGCTCTGCCACGTGTAGGTGTGCCCGATTCCCAGTCCTTTTAGTGATATGAGGGTGGACTATTGCTTAGCATACTGGCCAGTGTCCAAAACATCATTTTGAGGCAATGGAGTGACTAGAACTCGCGACCTGGGGCCAGATTCACGAAAGGACTTACGCAAGCACTTACGAATGTTTACATCTTTCCTCAATCTTTGACGGCTTTGGTTACATTTATTAAACAGTTTACAAGCATGAAAACGTCCCATTTAACTGTTGTTATTGTTATAAACAGCCTCCTGGTGCTTCGGAGCTCATTAACTGTTTAATAATTGTAAACAAAGCCGCCAAAGATTGAGAAAAGATGTACAGGTTCGTTAGTGCTTTCGTGAATCTGGCCCCTGGTGGCTCCCAGATGTCAGCCTTAACCAACTAGCCACGATGGTATATCAGTTGACCAATCCAGAACTCTACTGAGTTCTCTGGGAAGTTCTTGAGGCCCAGAACCGGGGCCCAACAAGGGTCTGACAGTTGTATAATGTGTATGAGTTAAGAAATCTTGGGTGTTGTCTGCAGACGATGGCGCACATGGCGTCGCACGGCATGGCGGTGGTGGTGCTGTGGAAGATCGCAGCGCCCATCAACCCGGAGGACAGGCTGCCGCTCTTCACCTCCGTCATGCTCTGGGCCGAGGACCACCTCGAGAAGAAGCTCCACAACAAGGGCCTCAACGACACTGTTCACCTCGACTTTGACAATCTTGTTGGTAAGGCTCGTGGTTGAGGCGTGGGGTCGGGGTTGAGGATGGGGCGATTTATAATATATATATATATATATATATATATATATATATATATATATATATATATATGTCGTACCTAGTAGCCAGAACTCACTTCTCAGCCTACTATGCAAGGCCCGATTTGCCTAATAAGCCAAGTTTTTCTGAATTAATATATTTTCTCAAATTTTTTTCTTATGAAATATTAAAGCTACCCATTTCTTAATGTATGAGGTCAATTTTTTTTTATTGGAGTTAAAATTAACGTAGATATATGACCGAACCTAACCAACCCTACCTAACCTAACCTAACATATCTTTATAGGTTAGGTTAGGTTAGGTAGCCAAAAAAGTTACATTAGGTTAGGTTAGGTAGGTTAGGTAGTCGAAAAACAATTAATTCGTGAAAACTTGGCTTATTAGGCAAATCGGGCCTTGCATAGTAGGCTGAAAAGTGCGTTCTGGCTACTAGGTACGACATATATATATATAGTGGCTTGTATCGAGGTCCCAAACCTAAATCAACAGTTGCCTAACTCTCGAGTACCTGTTGACTGCTGGGTGAATTGAGGCATTAGGTGAACACACAGCCCGTCCTCTCTAGTTGCCACAACGGACAGAAAACGGAGTACTGAAACACCCAGACCTAACATACCCAAATCAATCCTGTTCTATCCTATCAACCACACATAAAAAAAGAGTGTTTGTAAGCCAACCCCTTTATAACCCCTTTATTTGTCCGTTTGCGAGTTTGACGTCAAAATGCCATGTACTGTGTGCGAGGATGGGTTGGAACAGAGGCATTAGGTGAAAGGAAACGTTTCCAACCATTTCTGCCTACCCCGGGAATCGAACCCGGGATTTGTGAGCTTATGAGTTGAGAAAGGAACGAGACAATATGAAGGATGACATTTTAAGGTTTATAGAAAACTTGTAACTACTGTTTATATTGATAAAGGGGATACTTATTCAAATATTCCTTGTGAGATTCATGTGTAGAATCTCGTACATTTAAGGGATATTAACAGGAATCCCCTCCTTTCCTTACTCACTAGGCCATGATGTTGATGTAATGTTGAACCAACGTTGATTAAACGTCGATCCAACGTTGATTAAACATTGATACATCGTTGATTAAGCATTGATTCAACGTTGATAAAACATTTATACAAGAGTTAAATGTTGATCTAACATTTGTTGCATAATACCCTAACATACACTGCTCACTGGGATATGTGGGTTCCAGCTAGGCTATAAACTCACCACATTACCATCTTTCTTACGAACACAGTTGGTGGCCACTCAGCCGGTGCCCATGTGCAGGTGGAGTACCTGAAAACCACCTGTGGCAAGTTCAAGGGTCAGGTGTTTATGAGTCCCGTCGACGGCCTGCTGGAGTTCTGCATCACCCCGGGCGTCGCCCTTAACTACGTCATCCCGACGCTCCACCTGGCGGCCGGCCTCGATAACGTCCCAGGTGACCACCACACAACGAGTACCTACGGGCTCACCATAGCCCGTGCTACTTGGAACTGTTCCAAGTAGCGAATCTTTAACAACAACAACAACAACCACGCAACGTTCACACAGCCACAATGTTATGTTTGATATTGCAGAACACTGTTGCTACAGTATTGGGTTATGAACAAATCCACAAGGGCCGTGACGAGGATTCGAACCTGCGTCCGGGAGCATTCCAGACACTGCCTTAATCGACTGAGTTACGCTCAGGTAGCTCAGTCGATTAAGGCAGTGTCTGGGATGCTCCCGGACGCAGGTTCGAATCATCGTCACGGCCCTTATGGATTTGTTCATTTGATTCATCACGTTAGTGTGATTTCTGTGTGTAGTATTGGGTTATGTTGTAGGGTAATGTTGCTGCAATGTTGGGTTATGTTGTAGGATAACTGAATCTCGTGTTTTTATAATTATTTTCGCATGTATATGAGTGAGCTTGAGTGGGATGTGAATACCTGCTGCCTAGTATGGGCCACAGGGATTTACTGGAGTATTTCAAGAATAGGCTAGACATATATTTGAATGTATTTGGGTCGATAATAATAAGACCTGCTTAGTATATGTTCCAATAGGCTTTCTGCAGCTTCATCTATTCTTATCTCATATTGCTGGTGGCTGACCTGACTGTCTGTACCCCAGGGGTGAGCGGGTACCCGTGCGCCCCAGATGAAATCAGCAATGATCGGTTCTACGAGGCTATGGACCCGTCGTCTCAGCGCTGGTCCATCAACGCCACCAAATTTGGCCACGGGGACTTCCTCGACCCCCTGTACCAGGAGGCCCTCGAGGTGCTGGAGTTCTGTGGCTACAATCAGGACGCCACGCCTGAAGAATTTGAAGCTTATAGACGCTACGTCGCTGGTCAGACTGTGACCTTCGTTAAAGGTAAGAAGATATGTCCCAGCAAACACACACTTTGTTGCTACAACCTTGTTTTAACGGGGTCTAAAAGTTGTTGCATTGTTATAACACTTGAAAACTAGTATAAAATGATATGTATAATATACTTTTGTATTTTAATACTTAAATTTGTTCAAATTTGAAGTATTTTAGCCTAATAAGAACCGTTAGTTAAAACCACTTGTCAGCCTATCGTGCCTAAAGCTATTTAGGACCGAGTGCATCGCTTTTAATATCTCGTATGCCCAGGAATTTGGGATGAGTAATTTTAGGACAATTTTATTTATATAAGAAGTGAGACGTTTGTATCTGCACGGAGACATCTCCCGTCACGCAGGGTGCAGTCGCACCTCCTCAGATCTCCAGTATCATCTATAGATACTGGTAATGGCTCAAAAGGGCCACCACTTACGGGCTATTCATGCCCGTGCCACCTTTTGAGTGGCTTAATCTTTATCAATCATCAGTGTATCTGTACTTAAAGGTGAATGTTTTTGTCCCCCGACACAGCGCTGTTCTCGGAGGGTGACTGCGCCCAGTATCTACCCTACCTCGAGGATACCACCCGGATGATTGTGGATACTGTAGAACAGCACCAGAACCCTGTTGGTGGATGCCCCGTGGCTGGCTGTTCCTGGACCCCCCTACCATCACCCCCCACCACCACCCACCCCTCTGTCACTACATCCACCTTCCAGTAGATTATGTCCATCTTCAAGTAGATTATGTCCATCTTCCAGTAGATTATGTCCATCTTCCAGTAGATTATGTCCATCTTCCAGTAGATTATGTCCATCTTCCAGTAGATTATATCCATCTTCCAGTAGATTATGTCCACCTTCAAGTAGATTATGTCCATCTTCCAGTAGATTATGTCCACCTTCCAGTAGATTATGTCCACCTTCCAGTAGATTATGTCCACCTTCAAGTAGATTATGTCCATCTTCCAGTAGATTATGTCCATCTTCCAGTAGATTATGCCCACCTTCCAGTAGATTATGTCCACCTTCCAGTAGATTATGTCCACCTTCAAGTAGATTATGTCCATCTTCCAGTAGATTATGTCCATCTTCCAGTAGATTATGTCCATCTTCCAGTAGATTCTGTCCACCTTCCAGTAGATTATGTCCATCTTCCAGTAGATTATGTCCATCTTCCAGTAGATTATGTTCATGTTCAAATAGATGTCATCCATCATCCTGTTGATGTACTTCACAGTCCTATATCATCCTCCACAGCCCCATTGGCATGATGCAAAGCCCCGGGTCCGTTATCAACCGAGCTAAGACATCTTTCTCCACCTTGGAGAAAGCCTTAACCGACCACTACCTCCTGGGACGTCTCTAACTCCTCTAATATGATGTGATATTAATAACGTTCTGTTAATGATACACATGTTATCATATTGCAGAATAACAACATATGGAATAAGAAATAATTACTGTAGCGCCTTCAATAATCTCACGTCATCATCAGTCAAGCTGTTGACGGTGCAACCTGTCCCCCTAGCCAGCCTGTCCTCCTAGCCAACCTGTCCCCCTAGCCAGCCTGTCCTAGCCAACCTGTCCTCCTAGCCAACCTGTCCCCCTAGCCAACCTGTCCTCCTAGCCAACCTGTCTCCCTACAAATAACGTCGCTTTTCGCTCGTATGCGTCACATAAGGCTAAAAATAGTCGTACTAGAAAACGGAAGCGGCTGGCGAAAGTGACGTAGTGTCCCGTTTTCTGTTTTGGGTCCTCTGGTAGATTAGAACAAGGGCACTTTAGTACGTCAGTTTCTTGACGTTGGGGAACCTTAGGAAGACGGACTGGACGATGACCTAAGAAGGTCGACGGCGCTTCAGCAATGACTTCTTATTTCATATGTGCATTTTCCGCATTTGATAGCTCAACACACATCGGTGTGTCGTACAGTTTGTTGACACTATTAAAGAAAATGGGTGACACACTGGATGATGAAAGTCTCCGGGAATCAATCATACAAAATCAACCGTATTGATTTTTATTTCTCATTTGCCTTAATTATAAAAAATGAGGCTTGGTGAATCATTCTTTTTTTTCTCAGAGAATTTAAAACAAGTTGCCAGATGCTTGAAGATGAGAGTGACTGTATCACAGAGTTCTTCCTAAGGTCTTAAGTACTCGGTATCCTTCATTAGGGAACACTGGAAGCGACCAACGGAGATCAACAACAGGAATGCTAACACCAACAGAAGCAGAGTGATGGCCCGCCAGGGTTGGCAGCAGACAACAACACACGACTCATTTTCCCGACAGCATAGACAGCAAAAAGGAAAACAGACCACAATATTCCTCCCAAATGTTAGTTAACATATTATTTCATTCAATTGTATAGTATAGAGCGGTGTGTAGGTGTCCGTTAACTACCCAACAACCTCCATTGACAGTAAGTCGTCTGCCCTCCAGAATAATATGTCACTGCCAGACGTAAGATGACAACAAATAATTTAACTTGCCTTACCCCCACCCCCTCCGCCCCCCATTTTCTCCAAAACCATGTAAATAATGTTCATATCAGTCTAACCTATTGTGGAAAGCATTCTTGATACTGGTATGTTCCCTCAGTATTATGTATTATTATTACCGAGTATGATTATTTGGACTAGAAATTTGGACAGCAGTGGGGGGGAGGGGGCCCGGCAGCACTGCAGTACTACCACTTCATTAAATTCAACCATAAATTAATATCCGCAAATTATCTGAACTTTCTTTTGTGTTTCACAGTTTGGTAAACTATTAGACTCATTTTCATAGTACGTGAATGATGACATCAACATTTTGGAATAATATAATAAATGAATATTGGCATAAGGGTTTACGAAATTGTTAGATTTGTTTTTGAAAGAGATGGCATCACTGCGTGAGGCTACTGACCATGTCAACACAACAGAAATTTAGTTGACTTTCAAAGGCTGTGACGTGGGGTCGTGCGCGTGTATCTCCATTTACCTTTAACTGAACGTGCAGTTCCCAGTGTGCAACGCGGTTTACTGTTGGGCTTGTCTTGTGTGTTCTCAAATGATACAAATGTGTGGAACACTTAAGAGCTGTCAAACATAGAGGATTATTGTATAATAGAGCAAAACCAGAATTTGAGAGCCGATTTACTGATTAATTCTGCTCGTAAGTCAACAAGGTTTAAGACATTGAACTCACGGGCTCACCATATAGCCCGTGCTACTTGGAACTTTTGTTCGGAGTAGCTGAATCTAAAACAACAACAAACATTGAACTATGTTTAACGTGGTAAGTTAAAATAACATTTTACGTTACTACTTCCGACTTTATATGTTAAAGGAATTATTTATTTTTATTAATATTCATATTTCAGCTTCATCAAACCTTTATCACTCTGAACGACACATTCTCCCGACAGGATAGACAGCAGACAGCATAACCGCTGACATTCTCCCGACAGGATAGACAGTAGACGGCATAACCGCTGACATTCTCCCGACAGGATAGACAGTAGACGGCATAACCGCTGACATTCTCCCGACAGGATAGACAGTAGACAGCATAACAGACGGACTATTCTCCCAACATGTTTTAGCTGTTTCTGTAGAGCATGGCAATATGGCCACACACAAGGTGTTGTTATAGACATAGAGCATTGTCATATTGCTTCTCATAAGCTTAGTGCTGCCATAGAGCATGGCCGCATAAGGTGTTGCCATAGAGAATGACTGGCCACACACAAGGTGTTGCCATAGAGCATGGCCACATAAGGTGTTGCCATAGAGCGTGACTATATGGCCACACACAAGGTGCTGCCATAGAGCAGGGACACGCATAAGGTGCTGCCATAGAGCATGACAATTTGACCACATACAATATTGCCATATAGCAATATTCTCTCAACATGAAGATAAACGTAAATAAAGCTGAAATGCTTATCGATTTATATTTTGATTTATATATACATCGATTCATATTTTGATTTATATAGACATCGATTTATATTTTCAATTTTATTGTGATATCAACATAAATAAAAAGGAAAATAAACTATTTCAGATAACTGTGAAAACGTATATAGTGACAGAGGAGCAGTTACCTTCTTAAACAACCATCAAGAGCATTCAAAACTTATAAATATATATATAGTAACCAACCACACACAGACACACACACACACACACACACACACACACACACACACACACACACACACACACACACACACACACACACACACACACACACACACACACATGGGAATAATAATTCACAATTTTTAAAACAGAAATAATGACATGATATTTTGGTTCTAGACTGAATATTTTGGTCCCAGTTTAAGACAGAAATATTGATTCTGTTTCATGTGTTGTGGGTCTAAATTGTGGGTTATTATTCCATTGATCAGTGCGCTATTGCACTTTATTAATATATATATATATATATATATATATATATATATATATATATATATATATATATATATATATATATATATTGACAATAAATAAAAATATACAAAACAGCTGTAGAAAACATAAAATTACTCCAAACATTTACATAAAATGATTGTCAACAAAAATAATAAATAATACTCAATATATATATATATATATAACAGTTTGTAGCTTGCAAGGGGGAATGATATATATAAAGTATAGCTGGTGTGTATTACATCAGACTCAAGGGAGCGGGCGAGGTACCTAGGCTACTGGTGTTCCCGGGAGAGTTTCCAACTCTGTTGCTGGTTATGAGGCAGGAAAGTTTTACCGATGCTCCCACTACTGTGGATGAGAGTGTGACTCCTTCTTTACTCTCACCTTCAGTTAGGTTATCTGCGAGCTTTTCACCGATACTTTCATGAGCTTTGGGCGTTGGATCACGCAGGGTAGTTCTGTTTTTAAGTGATAGGTCGAGAATGTCGGAGCTCATAGCGTTTGATCTTGTCTCCAGCCAGCGATTATATGAAAGTGATGCGCTAGGCTTCACCGTCAGATCCATGGGCGTGTCGTCGTCTTTACTGCCTTCGCGGTCACTCATCAGTGTCTTCTCGTCTTGAAACGGCCTGTTCTCGGCGGGACTTTGATAACCTTTCATTTCCTCGAGCGAAGCGAACTTTACTGATAGTTTAGTTGATGAAGAGAGCAAAGAGTTGTTTGAAAGTTCAGCTACATCTTCCATCACTTGTCGTACCCTTTTGATTGGTGGAAGCACGAAGGAGTCTTCAGCTGGGCGCTTGGGAGGGATTGGGAAGTACTGTGCCGGCGCGTGAGACCGTCTGGGGTCCAAGCTGTGTGTCGTGTACCCAAGGTTGTATCCTGAGAGCTTGGGTCGTGTGCTCTCGAAGGCATGCTGGAGATATGGGTCGAAGGAGTGGCTGGAGTAAGCCGAGACAGACAAGGGAAAACGGCTTAGCAGCAGAGGGTTAAGATGTGGCCCTGGATATAAACCCGAAGATGGAAGTAGTTTCGGGTAGAGAGAGAAGTACTCTAGTGCGGGCGGGCCTCTGAGAGCCGCCTCCACCGAGTTATCTGAGGTGTGGGAGTCTGGGCTGCTGAGCGCTGGAGACGTGCGACGTGGAGAGTGATCAGGGACATCTATACTACACACGTCTATAGTATCGTTGTCCTCGCTGGCAGCTCGCCCCCAGCATCCTTCCTCACCCCCCAGGTCAGTGGGCGTCCCGGGCGGGGAGGATCTCGAATCATCCAGAAGACAGTGAATCTTGAACCAGTTAGAACGACGCCCATATCTGAAGCAGAGATGTAAGGTAAGGTAAACCAGGATACGCACTAAGCCTTGTGAATGTATAGCACTTGGGATATGACGACCAGGATCTGGGATAGGACGGAGGGAAGGAATGGTGTACAGCCACATGCACCATTAGGGATCGAACACCGCCCTGCAAGAAGCCAGGCCGACGCTGTACCGACCAGTCCAAGTGGCTGGATTCAAGAAGAGATGCAAGATGGTGTAACATATGTCCATATATCAAAAGAATCTATTTGTTAATTATTTGAAAGTAAAACAAAATCTGTCAAGTCCTTAAGTGATTCATTTTTATTATATAGAAACCCATAAATTATATCTATTGAAGTAAGATATGGTAGCGTATGTGATTGGATTATGCAGCATCGTGATTAATTACCAGGTATCAACTGTCAAAACAATACCAGGAAATGTGAACAGTCTGTCAAATATAATCAACTTTTAACTATCTAATTTATTTATGGGCTATTCATGCCCGTGCAACCTCTTGGGTAGTTTAATCTTCATCAGTCAATCATATTGATGTTCGTCTAGCAAACCCTGTCCTCTTAAAAATAACGTCGCTTTTGGCCGTTTATCCGCATGGCCGAAAGTGGACGAAATTTGAAAATGAAAAAAAAAAATTAAAATAAATTTGGGATTTTTTTTTTCAACAACATTAAGTTAAGGGTTCTCTAGTAGGTTAGGTGGGCAGGAAATTCTCATACAGTTTCAAAATGTTATGAAAAACGTTAATTGAAACCCGCCAAACACACACCGAAACTACGACGTTGGTACAACGTTCGAACAAGTTTTAATACCTCCTAACCAGTTACAACAACCAATATAGCAAGTTGTAACAACGTTCTAATACGTCATAAACACGTTAAGCCAAGATGTAACAACTTTATTACAAGTTGTAACAAGCGGAAAATAGAGTCAGTTACGGTTTGTGTTTCCAGGGAAGTTTCCTCTCCTAACCCTTCCGAGTAAGCCGGAGAACTCAAACTGAAAACGAGACAGTACGACACTTTGTGAGTCGATTTCATTTCAAATTACGTCCATTTTTGGCCATAGCGCGCATACGAGTCAAAAGCGACGTTATTTTTTAGTGGACGGGTTGCTGTATGACCACAACAAGACCCTGGCGAGGACCCACCTGGAGCCGGACTTGGACATGCCCACCACCAGACACTTCCGGAGGCGACAGGCTTTACAGGAAGTTCTGTTCTTCTTGTTGATGACGCAACGGCCGCCGTTCTTGCAGTCCCCGAGCGACGACACGTTGTTGTACGTCCGCCCGAAGAACGACTGTGGGAGAGAGAGGCAGGTGTTACTGGGGTGACGTACTGGGGAGAGAGGCAGGTGTTACTGGGGTGACGTACTGGCGAGAGAGGAAGGTCTTACTGGGGTAACGCACTGGGAATACTATCATGATATGAGTCGACGTAGCCTAGTCTGCCTCCAAGTGAGAGTTGTTCCTGGGCGTCCCCTTCATATTTGAGGACACACCTTTTCGGGGATAGGATAAATAGGTAGATATATGTGATCAAGTAGATAAATATGAGAGATTGAGGGTCAAGTGGAAATATTGTGAGGAGGAAGAATCGAGATGTGGTTCAAGTTCAAGTAAGTTTATTGACACAAGAAAAAAAATACATCTCAAAGGGATAGAGTAGCTTAGGCTATTTCTAACCCCCCAAGATGTGGTTCCTCCTAGATGGAAGTGATATTCTCAAGAAGGATATTTCCTTGAGGAAATTTAACTTCATATTGATTTATGATGTTTACATATTCTTATGTGATGCCACATTATGTCGACTCCTTAAAGTGAAACATGTTAGGCTGTGACGAGAAGGTGTGGAAGTGCTTATATTATTATTATTACTAAGACAAAATATTTACGTATATTTGACCTGCAGTAGGGTACAATCACATTAATATTATTAATGTGATTGTCATTATGAAATAAGTATTAAAGCAGTATGTTGATGTGATTAATTTATAGTGAGGAAAGAGCAAGAGATTAATTTGTATCTATTTACAGGGGGACTAGGTTAGCTAGAATAGATGAGGCTTGGAGTTTATTTAATGATTATTACCAAGGGTGAAGAGTTGTGTGTATACTACTTTACAGCACAGTGGAGGGAGGCGGGGCGGCCACCTTCGGGGAGACCCAGAAAACCAACAAGTACAGAGACCTAGAACGTTGTTGCAGGTTCGTGCTGATAGGCTCTGAGACTCTGGGCGCCTGGGGTAAATGTGCACTTAAGTTCTTAAAGGAGATGGGTGAGGAACTCATTGGGAAAACTAAAGACCCACGCACGGCCAGTTTCCTGTTCCAGCGCCTCAGTGTCGCACTTCAGAGGGGAAATGCGTGCTGTATCTTGGGTGAGCATCCAACCTCCGAGGAGCTGGACGAGGTCTTCGAACGCTGATTGTTATATTGTTATATATGTGTGTGTTCTCTGTAAACTGTAGCAATGCAATAAAATAAAACAAAACATACACAAATAATATGGGTGGTAGGAGAAGAAAAGATTAAAGTGTTCAGTGAGAATCCACAACATCTCTGAATATTCTTCATTTTCTTCTTCGAGGATGTGGGTCCCTTTAATTGCACCAGAGGTGGTACCCCTATTCTTTTAATATATATATATATATATATATATATATATATATATATATATATATATATATATATATATATATGTCGTACCTAGTAGCCAGAACGCACTTCTCGGCCTACTATGCAAGGCTCGATTTGCCTAATAAGCCAAGTTTTCATGAATTAATTGTTTTTCGACTACCTAGCTTACCTAACCTAACCTAACTTTTTCGGCTACCTAACCTAACCTATAAAGATAGGTTAGGTTAGGTTAGGTAGGGTTGGTTAGGTTCGGTCATATATCTAAGTTAATTTTAACTCCAATAAAAAAAAAATCCCTCATACATAATGAAATGGGTAGCTTTATTATTTCATAAGAAAAAAATTAGAGAAAATATATTAATTCAGGAAAACTTGGCTTATTAGGCAAATCGGGCCTTGCATAGTAGGCTGAGAAGTGCGTTCTGGCTACTAGGTACGACATATATATATATATATATATATATATATATATATATATATATATATATATATATATATATATATATATATATATATATATATATATATAATTATTTTAAGTTAAATTATACAAAATCCTATTACCTATTATTGCTCCGTGCCTTGACCTCGGGTTGGAGATGGTTTTAGAAGACTGGTCTGGTCACTAACTGAATTATAAGATACACGGGAAAAAATGCGGAGAGTGGAAGCTTACTAAAAATTGCAGTAACCCAAGAACAGATATCAGGTAAGCTGACATAGCAGTGTGAGCGTCGACAACATGTGGTCAGCCAGATTCCCTCACACCCTGAGCTGACAGTTCTCTGAAGTAGGCTACAGAAAAGACAGCCGCCTTCCTCTCCCTGGTGCTTCCTTTGTTTTTAATGTAAGGGAGTAGGACGAACCTCGTTTGTTTTGGACAGGGGACCTCAGCTATATTATCTTTTTTTTTTTTTTTTTTTTTTTTTTAGATATATACAAGAGTTGTTACATTCTTGTACAGCCACTAGTACGCGTAGCGTTTCGGGCAAGTCCTTAATCCTATGGTTCCTGGAATACGATCCCCGCCGCGAAGAATCGTTTTTTCATCCAAGTACACATTTTACTGTTGCGTTAAACAGAGGCTACAGTTAAGGAATTACGCCCAGTAAATCCTCCCCGGCCAGGATACGAACCCATGACATAGCGCTCGCGGAACGCCAGGCGAGTGTCTTACCACTACACCACGGAGACTGTCAAGGATCTAGGTTACCTTTGAGGGCTTTGTACAAGGTAGTTGAGCTTCTGTCTTGCTTTCATTACAATACATTCTGGGGTGACGTACTGGGGGAGAAGGAAGGTGTTACTGGGGTGATGTTCTGGGGAGACTTACTACGGGAGAAGGCTACTGGAGAGATCTAAAGGGGAGATGTACTGGGTAAGGCCAGGGGGGAAAGTGGCAGGCATGATTAGGGTAAGACTTACTGGGGGGAATGGTACTGGGGAGAGTGGTATTAGGGAGAGTATTACTGGGGAGGCGTACCCAGTATACGTAATGAGCTGAGATGTGTTTGGGAGAAGTACTGAGAGAGAGAGAGAGATAGGAAGGTATTATTGGGAGAGGCATATTATGGGTATTTACTGGAGGAGATTATTACTAGGGTAAACATACCAGAAAGACGTACCGGGGAAAAGAGGGAGCTACTTGAGGAGACTTACTGGGTAAAGTGGTACTGGGGAAGTGTGTTACCGGGGAGACGTACCAGTAAAGGTAACTATTAGGAGAGAGCATTAAGGCATTACGGATATATGCCACTTGGAAAGGATAGGAGGGATAAGAATTTGGGATAGGACGGAGAAAAAAGGATGAGATCCGACCACTTGGACAGTCGGGGATTGAACACTGACCTGCTAAAAGCGAAGCCAGGGAGGTGTATTTGGGAATAGAGGAAAGTGTTACTGGAGTTGTAAGGTAAGGGCTGATATCTTGGCATTCTGCTCACTTGGCATAGACTTTGCTTAGTCCATTCGCAAAAGTACCAATGGATGTTCGTAAGATGTAAAACATGTGCACAAATGGCACTGATCACGTTTGAAAGTGCCGCCGAGGCAACAGCTAGTGTGCGCATGCGTGAAAGATTTCCATGTGAGCGGTTCTTTCTAAAAATTTATGAAGAACAGTATCCAGTATACAAGATAAATATTTCTAGCTGCATTCAGTGACTTCAAACGGTAACTAGAAATCGGTATTAAATGTTGGAATGCAAGATAACATACAATAAACAAGTATATGGGCGCATGGTTGAATACTCGGGATGTAAATAATATTGGAACGGTTGGCGGGAAGGCGGCGAGGGCGGCCCCAAACCAACCACCCTCGACGGAGATTATTTTCATGGTGCTCCCATTACTCGAGCCTAGTAGACTCCCCAGCCATCTACTGGAAGGTAGGTCTACCTCCAACTTAATCTTAAGTAGCTTGTGTAGCAATTACAAGTAGGGTGTAACAGAGAATGGGGAGAGTATTGCCTGGGAGAGG